TGTATAGAGTATAGAAAATTAAATTCTGTCACTAGGAAAGCTCACTTTTCTTTACCCTTTCTGAATCATATGTTAGATAGGCTGGGTGGCCATCCATATTTTTGTTTTCTAGATGAATCTTGTGGGTATCATCAAATACCTATAGCTCATGAGGATCAAGAAAAGACAACATTTACAAGTCCTTATGGTACTTTTATTTTTCGAAGAATATCTTTTGGGTTATGTAACTCACTCGCTATATTTCAACGGTGTATGATGTCTATATTTTGTTACCTAATTGAGAAAGGAATTGACATGTTTATGGATCAATTTTCAGTATTTGGACCATCATTTGATTCATATTTAGATCATTTAGAGAAGGTGTTGAAACACCGCGAAGAAACTAACTTGATTCTTAATTGGGAGAAGGGTTAATTTATAATTTTAGGAGGAATCATATTAGGACATAAAATATCTGCAAAAGGCATGGAAGTAGACCCAATAAAGATTCAATTAATTAAAAAACAACATCCTCCTACTATTATGGGGAGAGTTATAAGTTTTTTGGAATATGTCGGATTCTATAGGCAATATATAAAATATTTTTTCAAAATTACCAAACTTTTATGTCGTCTCTTACAGTAGAATGCCCTATGTAATTTCAACCATGTAGGTCGCCTGATTGTGAAAATATATTTAATATATATATATATAATGTATTGAAAAGTAATACGAGATCGAACCAATCTCATATAGATAATAATTTAAGTAAATGAGCACAACACCACAAGCGATGTATCTATCCCGAGGAATAGACATATCACTTATCCGTGAGGTTGAATTAAATAAACTAAAGAATTTATGACATCCATTTTAGTTTTTGAACCTTTATGTTGACTGACAAGTTCCCCTATATAATATAAAATATTAGACGGGGCTTATATTAAGGTGGGTTCTAAAGTTTCTTATAAGTGCAAAACCCTATAGTTAATTACATCTTAAATGACGGAGGTCACCTAAAAATCCTCTCGACTTAGATCAAAAAATATTGTCTTCAAGAATTAAAAAGGGTAAGACTTTTCAAAGTTCGGACAAAGAAGTGTCAAATGGGCAAAGCTCAAGTTTATTATGGAATCCAAAGGGAGAAAACTAAGGGATGTCATGGATCCTCAGGAGAACCTCAGTGACTTCCCAAGTTATGCTATAGTGAGACTTCAATTTCATAGAGATATTATTATATGTTTCATTATGCCAATTTTATTAGTTAAAGCTTACATTTGCATGACACAATCATACAAATATCCTGGAGGATAAAAAGATTTATGTCGTAATAAATGACAACTTTGAAACCTAAGCCGAGTCAGGGCTTAAATTGCACGACATGATTGTGCAAAGTCCTAAGGATAAGATGAGGATTTATGTTGCACTAGGCAAAAAAACCATGAAATTTTATGGCTTGTTATTTAAATTTTAAGGAAAGAAACTGCTGTTGTAGATCTATTTGCTCTCTCGACGTTGTTCTTTTGTACATCCTTGTCGTGCAGCCCACGGAGTCAGCCCCCAAGCTCCCCGATGAAGTAAAAGTCCTAAAATTTAAGTGTTCAAAAGGTTTTACCAGGTGTATTTCAAGTGACAATTTTTTGTTCAGACATTATGGGGCTTAAAGTTGATTAGAGCGACACCGGTTAGGATCTCACAGTTCCTTCGTTTCGGTACCACTATTTTCTCTTGAATTTACTTAGTCTAAACGAGTTGTTAAGCTCATTTAAACTGGGTAGATCTCGTTAGCAACCGTGGGTTACCTTTAGCAACCGTGGGTTACCTCCGTGGGTTACCTCATTTGAGGGACTGTAAATTCAAGAGGATTTATTATGTAATTGTTATCTTGTTATTTTATTTTGAAAATGTTGTTTTAATTTTGTAAAATAGTTTGGTAATTTTCAGTTTTGGTACAATTTTTGTAGGTAAAGTAAATAAATACAGATAATAAAAGTATTGTAAGGTAAGTAAATAGAATTGCCATGCATAAAATATAAAACGCTTACTTGGGCCTCTGCTACCGCTATATGGTTAGCGTCATAAAACATGATATATTTACAGGAAATTTAAAGAAATTGCAGGAAAGCAAACGAGAATATCTGGTATGGAAAAGTCAGAAAAGTGGTCGTGCCAAAACACGAGTAAAAAGAAACCTGTAGTCACATATAGAAGATGAGAAATGAGGTAAGAAATTAGTAAAGGTGGGCGCTCAAAGTTGGACTGTGTGCTTCCTGACCTTAAGTGAGAACTACCAACTTGATAATCTACGGAAAGCAGTCTTAACCTCGTTCCGAGTGATTAATTGTAGACCTCTATAAGTTTTCATTTTTTTAATTTAGTTTTCATGCATATAAAATTTACTTTATCAAGCAAAAGAGATTTCATTTTTGTAATTATTTTGCAAAGTAATGTAGTCCATGGGTTAATTACTTTAATCGAGCTAAGACTACAAGCAACCTAGAAGTGTTGGGGAAAATCATATTCTCAAGAATCGTAAAATAGTATCGTCGGCCTCTATCCTCTCCTTTTGTCAAAGGTCCTTGAAGTAGAAGATATTATTCTAAATCTCACATCGTATCCCTCATTTTAGTACACATTAACATTATCATCATTGCCCTAGCTACCTAGACCTCTGACTTACACAAGTCTGATGATTCATATATGGCAAAAACAAATATTCTCAGTTGCTCACAAGGATTTAAATACTATAGAGAAGACTCAAATCCTTGAGCATTGGGTCAATTAATATAAGATAAGTAGTGTAGGGGATTTCTATTGATTTAGGTGAACTAACGGGTCCCGAGGCATAACTTGGTGTGTCCCTAAAAGCTTTAACAAATGATTTTCTTGAGCAAAGAATAATAAGTCTAGTAGTCCTTCAAAATATCCAAAATTTTTCAAAATTGTTTGGGGCATAACCCTAAACAACTTTTGAAATCCCTTGAAATGTTTCGAGTTCATTGAACTTATTACATTGCTCAATTAATCATCTTAAGTTAAATTAAGTTTCAATGGATTAATACATCCTATTCTCAGTGAACCGTAATATTTCAATTGACCCAAAGGTGGTGTACTCGGACAGTTACTTAATGTATTTAAAAGTTATGTAAGTGGGTACCCTAACGCAAGTTCAAGTCATTAAGGATCTTATACCCACAATTAAAGTTGGGCTTGCGGTGTTTAGAGATGTTCGTTAATCAGTCATATTTCACTTTTGTAAGGGTTTATGGTTTAGGTTTAAATATCAAGTCCAGCTCACTATGAAGCCTTTAGATCCAATCTCGGGGTAGATTTGTAATAATCAAAATATTGAATTAGAGGTACTTAATTCTTATCAAAAGATCATGCTTATCATCTAATCACCAATTAGAGGCTGCAAATAAGTAAGTATTATCTTCCTAGCTTAATCCCACTACCTTAGATTCATCCAATTGCATTAACCTCCAAGTAATAACAATTTATAAATTTACATTTTTACATTTACTATGAAAAGGTGACAAATTGGTTTCTACTTTTTAATCCATTATGTTTCAAACATCCAAAAGAGTTTATTATGATCAAAATTACCCATTTACTCTATGATTAATGTAAAGTTTAATCAAGGTATCAAAATCTTAAAATTACCATTTTGCCCCTAGGGCTCTCCGCTCCATATCTCATTAAATATAACTCAAATGACTTTTAAATTTTTAAGGTGCCCCACTCATGGGTCAATTAAAACATTAGAAGAGAAATTATGATTTTTTTAATTTATATTTAATTTATATAATTATTTAAGCTCAAAAATAGGAATTTTCAATGTTAATTTATTTGATTAATCAAAGTAAAATTTTTGCTTATGTGAAAATTATTGGAGTTTCACTAGGTCAAAGGACCACTTGGACAAAATTTCATTATTATAATTATTTATTGATTTTAGTGATTAATAAAATAGAAAATATATTTTAATTTCAACAATTTACTTTGTAATTTTTTATTAAATCTCTCTCCAGAGAACTCATGGAAACAAAATTTTCATTTTTATGATTTTTATATTATTTATTATATTTATTTTAATGAAAATTTAAGGAAAATACATTTTTAGGATTTAAAAATATATAACTAAATTAAGAAAAATTAGAAAAAATATATTTTAAAGGGCCTCAAGTGACCATAGAACAACTAGGGACATTTTAGGGCATTTTCATGTTTTTGCAATTTTTAATTATTTTAAATTTAAAAAGTAGCTAAAAATTTAGCTATTTATTTTAAAATAAATTTTATATTTCCAAGATACTCATGATCACAAGGAACACAGAAAACCAACCACCCTTCATAACTTAATTGATTGTAATGAAATCAAGACAGAGAAAACTAAGCAAGCATCAGAGAATGAGTTTGATTTCATGCCAAGATCCATTTCAAAAACTAAATTGTTTTAAGCCTTAACAATTTTATTTTACCTTATCTTGTAATTTTATTCCAAAATTAATTTTTCTAAAATTAATAACATTTTATTTTAAATATTATTTTAATTATCAGTTTACATTCAATATGGGCACTCAAATCCAAAAATTATATATATATTGATATATAAATACTGATTTTGACCCAATAATTTATTTTAAATATTATTTTAATTATCCTTTTACACTTAATATGGGCAATGAAACCTAAAGAATTAAAAAATAAATAAAAATGAACAAACAAATATGCAAATACGGATTTTATCCTTAGATTCATCAAAATTGATGTCTATTACATGTCATTTCTTACATATTGCTCTATTGTGAAATAATGATTGGTATCACCAACTCTCTCTCTCTCTCTCTCTCTATAGATCTAGATTGATATATACACAAGTCCATATCTACCATAAGCACATGGCCTCATGGAAGTCCTCCCTTATCCTCCTCACTCCTCCTGAAACCCTAATTTCCATTTTCATTTCACCTATAAATACCACCACCAATGCATTATAAATGAACTCACAACACAAACAGACTAAATCTTCTCCGCTTAACTAATCCACTGCTGCTTCGATGGGCTCCGAATCTCATCAAATTCAGATCTTAAAGATCTGCAGCTACTCTGTTTTTCCAATGACTCTCACAACAGCCATAGAACTCGGCTTGTTTAAGCTTCTCTCCGACGCCGGACCCGGAGCTCAGCTTTCTGCTGAAGAGCTCGCCGCAAAGCTGATTCATGATTCCGCAAACGAATATACTGCTTCTAAGCTTGAGAGGATTCTTCGTCTTCTTGCTAGCCACTCTGTGTTATCCTGGTCGACGGTGACCGACGGCCATGGCCGCGCTGTCCGTCGCTACGGCGCTTCTCCTGCCTGCAAGTATTTGGTCCCTGATGAGGCTGGAGTTTCTTTGGCTTCGCTAAGTCTTATGAGTACTGATTGGGTCACCATGCAGAGCTGGTATGTGACTTATAAGAAGCTTAGAATCTGTGAAAGGAGTAATGGATATATCTCATGATTGCATTATTTTATGATTTATTGTTCTTTAATTTTTTTTTTAATCTTTAATTTGTTTTAGATTTTGAATAAATAGTCAAATTGATTGTCAAGGTTTGTTATAATTTAGAACTAATTATGTCAAATAGTTTGAAGTTTTTATCCTCTCAAAATTTATTAAATCAAGATTAGCAAGATTTATTAAGGGTTTGTTTAAGGGCAACTGCAATTATGTGTAAATAACACCTTTCATGATCTATATGAACTAATTAATGAGCTAATATTGTGCCAATTCTTTTGTTAAAAGGTACCATTTAAAGGATGCAATATTGCATGGAGGGGTGGCCTTCAATAGAGCTCATGATGGATTGAATGAGTTTGAGTACCATGCTAAGGATCCAAGATTTAGTAAGGTTTTCAATGATGGGATGAGAAGCCATTCTATAACTATTATGAAGAATATTTTGGAAGTTTATAAGGGATTTGAGGATATTAATGTGCTTGTGGATGTGTGTGGAGGGACTGGAGGGACTTTGAGTATGATTACTACAAAGCATAAGCATATTAAAGGGATTAATTTTGATCTTCCTCATGTTATTGCTCAAGCGCCTGCTTTGCCTGGTAATTTGTCTACTTATTCTTCAATCTATTACACATTAAAATACTGATTCATAATGTATGCCTTAAAATTTTGCTGATGTAGGAGTGGAGCATGTTGGTGGGGATGTGTTTGAAAGCATCCCCAGTGGAGACGCCTTATTGTTGAAGGTGAGATTAAACTTAATGATGACACAATTATAGTATTAATTAGACATGAAGTTAAATAATTGAACTTTTTTTAATACTTTATAGTAATAATTAAAGCATACTTAAATTAAATAAATCAATGAATAAAATTTAATTAGAATATTCTGGCTTAATTGTTCTAAATAAGATAAAATAGAACGTAGTTTAACCTCATTTTTGCAGAAATAAATAGCGCAGAGCTGCATGCGCTCTCCGATCGCAGCCGCACATCAACCATCCCTTATGCCAGTGGGTCTTACTTTTACTAAATTTAAAAAAAATAAAAAAAATTTAAGGGATGGTTGATGCGCGGCTGTGATCAGAGAATGCACGCGGCATGCGTATGCTCTCCGTACGCAATAATTACTCGTGGACATAATTCATAATCTCCTCACATGTTGTACAAGAAAGTTCTATCATTTCCCCTTAAAATATTATTTATAATACTCTACTATCAATAAAAACAAGAATATATAAAATAAATAAATATTATATCTTTTAAATAGAAAATTCATTATAAATAATTTCATCAAAAATTGTGAATGATTTTAGTCATTATGATTGGTTTAATCATAGTTTTATTATCTATGAGGCTAGAAAATTTATTGTATAAATGTTCATGAGGCATTACCAACGACATTAGCCATTATTCTTGGCTTAGTAATCTGGTCTAATTAGTAAGAATCAGTTTGGATCAATAAAATGACACAACTAATGAATTTACAACACAATAATATTTTTCTTGTTAAAATTATATATAAACTTGCAAAATAAATAAATAAATAAATCATCATGTGGTTCAATAAAAATGTTTTCCACCTTAAAATTTGCTCCAATTTTAGCATGAAAAAAAGGAAGATTTACAATTTACATACATACCAATTGGCCTTTTTTTTTCTGCATTAACATATCTAACCCCTAAAATTTTATTATTACATATGTGCAACCATTTTTATGCATAAAAAAGGTGGACTTTTCTTTTTCAAAATAAAAATAGTGATATTTTTCAAAAAATATTACGTCGAACGTAGAGCTGAGTTCGGATTGTAATAATCGCTGTGTTATATGAATATTCTATCAGCGTTATTTGTGGAAAAGAAAGTGTTATTGGAATATTCCCCCGCCTTAGTTGATTTGGGACTGTGTTATTTCAACAACATAGTGAAAATTAAAATAACATGGGAAATATGCCGAATAACACAACCCAAAATCAAGTAACATGGGGAATATTCTAATAATATTGCAAAGTAATCAAATAACATCACATAAAACTCGAATAACATTTTATTTTTTACAAATAACGCTGATAGAATATTTCTGTAACACAGCGGAGTATTCATGTAACACAGTCACTATTGGAATCCAAATGTACCTTTCATTTCGAAGTCTTAATGTAATATGTGCTCATACTTTTCAAGTAATATGAAAGATTGGCATCGTAAAATATATAGAAAGAAAGAAGAGAGAGAGAGAGAGAGAGAGAGAGAGAGAGAGAGAGAGAGAGCGCATATGTGTGATGAATGATTTTTATTGATTAATTACGTCCAAGCAGTGGGTTCTTCATGATTGGAACGACGAAGACTGCCTAAAAATTCTAAGCAACTGTTGGAAAGCGATTCCAAACAGAGGGAAGGTGATAGTCGTGGATTCCATTCTTCCAGAAACTCTGGATTCAACAGATTTGACGCACTGCGTCTTACACACAGACGTAATAATGCTTCTGGAGAGTCCAAGTGGGAAGGAGAGAACCGAGAAGGAGTTCTGGGCGTTGGCCAAACAATCTGGTTTTTCTGATTTCAGTATTCTCTGCAACTTCTCCAATGCTTGGATAATGGAGTTCTTCAAATAGTTCTGTACTGCTTATTTATTCCTTCTATATTGTCATGCATTGAGTCTCATTTACGTGCTTTTTGTGATTAATGTTCGTCTTTTGCTCGTGTCTGTTTCTCTGAAGCTTTATGTGTGTTATGGGTTGATTGCAGAATTTCAAAGGTTTTGTATTAAAAAGAGAAAATATTGCATCCGCACGTTGAGTTAGGTGTAGAGTCTAATGAAATCACGCTACGTGACGGTGACAGAAAAAAATAAAATAAAATCTGCCTAGTAACATAAGGGAATATTTCTCCCGTGTTATTCATGTGACACAACCAATTTTCTAAAGGACTTACTATATTTTTCAGCAAAACTTAAGTAAGGTTTGGGATCAAATTTATACTTTATTTTTATTTTTATTTTTAAGAGCATATTGGGTTTGGGATCAAATTTATACTTTATTTTTATTTTTATTTTTAAGAGCATATTATTTTATATACATTTGGGGGCATATATATATATATATATATATATAAACATTCATAAAAATATCAGTGTTACTATCTTTTTAAAAGTAAGGTACATATTTTTCATGCATAATTTTATAACCTACTAAGATGTTAGAAGTGCAAATATCAAACGTTGGGTGTAATATATAAATATAAAAGCATAAAAATTGTGGTATGCATGTAAATATTGCAATAGATTTTCTGTGGTTTAATTGCTGTTTTGAAAATAGTTTTAAGAAAATAACTTTTAGGCTTCTTTAGTTAGTGGAGAAGGTTGTTTGATTTGAAATAACAACACAATGTTTTAATATAAACAAGGTTTAGCTGTAGCTTTTACTAATATGCCTGCTCATTATTTAATTCATTTTAAATATTAAGAATATATTATATTAAATTCAAATCAGAACATGATTATAATAAGATATTTGTTTCTATTTTACAGAAATATATGTTTTAAATTGGTGTTATGAGCATTTGTTGTGATGGCACCTTTTTGAAGTTCATGCCTCCCCTAACCCAAAATGAAACAGAGGAGGTTGAAGGGAGGTGGCTTTCAGTACATTAGTACACTGAGCCGATGGTTGCCTAACTTGGTTCTTACAACCTGACAAGTTCGATCCATTGAAAGCAGTATTATAGATAATTTATTTACTCTTTATTAAAGAACCCTAGGATCCTAAACTCAAATCAACCATTAAATTCAATGAATATAACTTTAGATATTGAATTACTAAAGGGCAAGTAATAATTAAGTTTGGGGGTATTTGATGTACATCAAATATACATGTTATTTTTATGTGATTTTTATCTTAATTCATGTACTTTTACATTTTTTCATGATATGTGTGGTTATATATGAAATATTTATATTAGAAGATTCATCGAAGCTAAATAAGTAAAGAATCAAGCAAAGTAGAGGTGGAGTGCCTAGGTGCCACAGCTGAGCGCCTAAGTGCCCAAGTAGTAAAATTCAATCATGAATCCAGAGAAGGTAAAAAGAAGGCATTGGGTTAGTGACACCTAAGTGTCATGACCTAAGCGCCTTGGTGCTAGATATGGTCTCTTAGGCACCCAAACACTTGCACAAGGACCTGAGCAGTTTGAAAGTGGGTGACGGGCCGCCACCTCTCAGATGCTAGAAAACAGTGCCTAGGCGTCGCATACCAGCTCCTAGCCACCAATCGGTTCATCTTTTTTTAATGGTTTGAGCACTTAGCCGGCGTCCATTCATGGTGGAAGGCATAAAAATCTCTGCTAAAGGAAAAATGAGGGAGTTAATGAGCACGAGACTTAAGGAGAACACTAGATATAAAGTTCAAGTGTGAGAGAGTGAAATGTGGAGTGATTGTAAGATTTTCTAAGCGTGTAATTGTTTTTGTAATCTCGGCATATCATTTTGGAGAAGGAAGAGAGACAATTTTGAAATCTTCTTGGTGAACTCCATTAGATTTTATCTTTTCAAACTTTTTTTATATACATTTCCTATAAATGAAATGATTATATTATTGTTCTCAAGTATGATTAGTGAGTGGAATTATTTTTCTCTCTTGAATTGGTGATGCAGGAATTTAAAGCTTAGATTTATTGTGTGATTTTATTGAAATTTTTACAGGGTGGTGTTTTAACCTTTAATTCTCTCTTTACATTCAATATGACCAGTTGAGTAGTTAAAATTCATTGTGATCTTTGAGTTTTTGAAGAATTCTCAGTGAAATAATTAAGTTAAGACACATTAACTAAGAGAATAAGAATATTGTTTCTAGGTTAGTGCAATCCTTTACAAAAATAAAAAAATTTTGAGCTAATCACTTGGTTTAGGGAACTAAACATGTTTGATAGTCAAACATTCTTAGACACCTGGGGGATAAGGAGGAGATCTACTTCTTATTGTCACCCATAATTGAACATCTAATCAAACTTAGATTCATGTAGACCAATTCACAGGAGTATTTTAATAGCATCAGAGAACTTCATTGAAATTCTCACCTTGTTAGCTAAGGTTTTACTATTTCAAAAATTATGATTAGTGACTTTTCAAAATCACATAACTTTGTACCTTCAAGTTAGATTCAAAACCAGTAGGCAAAATATTTCATGAGATCTACGCACGGACTCTGTTTCATACATACTTGAACGACACATATACTTGCGTGATTCTCGAGTCCTTCACAGCATTTCGGTCCGTATCAATAAATCATGATTGAGTTAATATGATCTAGCAAAAAATTATTAAAATTAATATCAATTTCTCTAAAGTCAACATATGCTTCAGTGCTCAAAGTACAAAATTAAAAAAATAAAAAAAAAAATTGAAAAAAAAAGAAGTAATCATGTATATTCAAGATCAAGAAGACATTTATATACATGCCACATAATTCCTATATATCTACATACATAAACCTCCAAACTTTTATATTTATATACATACCACTCAAATATTTAACATAACATTAAAAATATCATTATTATTAACTTTTAAAAAGTGAAAGGAACCCTTTAAGTTTTTACACACATATCACCTTATTTATGTATAAAAAAAGTATTTAACTTTTCAAAAGCTAAGATGATAATATTTTTGATTTGATATGTTGTATTTTGAAGGTAGAGAAGCAAAAAAGGTAAATTTTAGGCATAATGTATATAAACAGTAAATACATAGGTGCTAAATGCCCCCAAAATAATTCGACTCAAAATATTCTTGATTTAAAGTTTGATAAAAAAGAATTTTATTAGGATTGAATTTATATAAACATAAATTTTGTTTACTATACATAATTAGTTATGTATTAAGTTTATATCAAAATAATAGTGTTATTGGCTAAAAAATCTAACATATTTATAATTGACTTTTTTTTTTGAGTAATTTGTCCCTATTGTTTTTTTACTTTCGATATGTGCCACTGAAGTTTGATTATATATGTTATGGATTAAGTAAATCTTAAAGGTTTTGTAACAAAATGTATACTACATACATACATACATGCATATGTATATATATATATATACAGAGAGAGAGAGAGAGGTTGAAGAAATGTTTATGATGGAGGGATTATTCTTAACTACAGAGAAAGAAATATTTTTTTATGTAGCTTTTGCAATTTTATAATTTTGATCTCCCTCCAGATATTTTTTTATTTCGGTACTTCGAAAAAATTAAATATTTTGATCCCACTCTTGGTCATATATGGTCAGGTGATCATTTTCTAAATCATCATAAAAAATCCTTCAATGTTTAAAACCCTAGACATAACACATTCAAGTAATCTTATATTTTCAAAGGTAGGCATGATATTTTTGGGCCTAAGAAAGAGAAAATATTACGTAACAATGTCGGCCTGTGCAAACATCTAATAGGACGGGAGTGATTGTGGTACATTCTGAGTGTACTTCTCACTAATTGGTTGTTTGCATATACGGAAAATCGTACTATTGAATCATGATATGTATGTGAATCACACCTCAAGAGTTAGAGCATAATACATGAAGGGAGAAAGAGAGAGAGAGAGAGAGAAAGAGCGAAGTGCATAGTAATGAATAAAAAAATATCTTATCTATTTTGTAAAATAATCCCCTATATAAAGGGAAGCAGTTTTAAACTTTCATGTTCACCTTGCTCTAATAAAGACATTTCAAGATATTTTTGGTATTTAATATGTTTGGGTCTATTGCTCGGCTACCTTTTAACTTGGTTAGGTGAGCTTGGGTTGATAAGGCCTACTTGGACTGCCTTCTTTTGATCCCCAATGAGGAGCTCCTGTTAGCGATGTTAAGCTATCAGACAGAGGGTGAATCACTGTAACCCGATGAAGTGCTCACTCCTTAACAAGGAGAATCACTGTAACCCGATAGGAGCTTCTGTTAGAGATCGTAGAGTGAAAATAGAAAGAAGAAACTCGCTTCTAAGAAGTGGATGGCAGCCAAGCTGACGTACCAAGTGAGATCATCTGATTCACTTCAAGATCCTCGTCTGGGGAAGAATTGGGAGGAAGATGAAAGCAATTTGGGAGGTCCAAGTGTCAGTCCATCAACCTAACCTTTTGTTGAGGCTTGAGACCAACTTGTTGAACAACTAGTACAAGGATTCTTTGTTACCCGAGGCTTAGCAATCTGTTGGTACTCTGTTGCGAACATGCAGACAAAAGACTCTGAGCACTTCACTGTTTCCCAGTGAGTGTGGTGTGTTGATTGGATGGTATAAACTGGATTGGCTTCATGGTATGAGGAGATTCAATCTTACTGGTTAGGTTATTTTTTTTCCCTTTGCCTATATTATCTTTTGGTGCAACTAATTTGATACTGGTTGATGACTTACCTCAGGAATGCTAGTCAGGGTTTGACCCCAGCACAATTGAGGTAACCTGGATGCTAGCCAAGAGCGAGGAGGGGGCAATTGACTACACAACCAGTATCTACAAAATTTATAAGGAATAAACTTATGGATGTTGGATGTCCCTCAGATCAGTGGCTACTATGTAGATGAGATGGAGTGTTATTATGCTACGGTAGCCGAAATCTAGCAGGAAGAAGAGATGCCCGAGTTGTGGGAGGTAAGCTTTAGTCTTCATCAGGGGAACACTCTTAAAATACTCCTTATTTTGTATGCCTTCTATTGTTTCAGTCATTGATACCTGCAATGGGGTAGTCATGGGAACCTTGATGTGGGATACCTATTGTTCATCGTATCGAGTCGATTGTTGATCAGAATATCGGGCATGATTCCCTTAATTGTTGGGCCTATCTGCTCTCTTGTGGTCTGAAGGTTGTCAATTTTCTTCATAATGTAGGCAAGCGGAGGGACGTGAATCACTCCTCACTCTGCACCTGTCATTTGTAGGGGCCCTCTTCTACAGATGACAGGTGGAAGACTCTGCTTTGGCAAAAGCAGGGATGGAGTTGTATACCTCGATTGACATACGAGTGTTGGTTAACTCCAACAACTCAGCTAAGGTCTTTGGTCACCGCAGGCCTAAAGCATGTGGAATGGTACTTCTTTCAGCCTTTAGACTAGGGCGGGGCGTGCTACTATGGGTTCCAAATGCCACACTTTCAGCATTTCCTTTAGGAAACAAGTGATGAATGAGCAAAAAAGTTCATTATGCCCTTGTCTGATCTGGAGAAGGAACTGTGAATTTTCTTGGGGCTTCCGGGTGCTTGCAAATTATGACATGAACAACTGCTTGAAGTCAACAAATGAGGTGATCACCCTTGGTGGAAATATATTGAATCACCTGAGGGGCTCACTCCCTCATCATAACGAAGAAAAGACAACACTTTAGTGTGTTTGTGATCCTCAACAAACATACAATCAACTCAAACAAGACTATGTGGTCGGTTGGATTAGTGTGGCCCTTATAAGATTCCTGTGTCCGGATTTTGAACCTTTATGGGGGTTCAGCCTCAGAGATTTACTGAGAGAATGTGTTTTTTGTTTGGTTGGGCATCTCAATGTGTCAAACCGCTGTCTATCAATTGACGTCAAGCCTACACTATCAAAGTACTATGAATATCCTTTTCTTTTCAGGGTTAAGAGTACTATTCGATTGTTGACCGTCGGCCCTTCCTCTTAGGGGCGTTGCTCCCTTTTCTAAGTCAATGCCCTTAGATGGCATTCTGCATATGATCCCTTAGCTTCTGGGACAAATGGTTTACAAACTCTCTAATGCACTCCATGTTACCAGTATTTGTGCTGCAATTTTCTTCTCTATGTGTTACTTCCCATCTTATCTGTGGCATGATCCATGTTCACTACACTTTTTAGGATGTTGAATTTTAATTTGTTCATGAATCATAACTCAAGTGTTAGAGCATAAACTAGGAGATGGAAAAAGAGGGGAACAGAAAGATAAGTGCACAGTAATGAACAGTAGAAGGTATTTTTCATTAGTTCTTTTCTTATAACAGGATCCTATATTCATAGTTGAGGGGATATAATATATAAAGTTACATGTTTGTCTATGTTTTAATGAGGGTATTATTACATATTTTAGATATTTAACATGTATGGACCTATGGCTCGGCTACCCTCTGATTTAGTCGGCTGAGCTCGGTGCGCCTTAGTTAGTCATGACCTACTCGTTTAACTATGTTGAATTGAGTTTGTCCGTTGGCCTTCGATGTTCTCTAGTCGGCAGGACTAGCTTGATTGACTTGGCTTTGCCGGTCGAATATTCTAGTTTGACTATCGATCATCGATCCCTAGTGAGGTGCTCTCTTTGGTTGAGTGGTGCTAGGCTATTGGGCGGAGGGTGAATCATCATAACCCGATATGTAGCTCACTCCTCAACAATAAGAGCCAAAGGGATGATTTAGTGCATGGTTACTTTTGGGTCCTTGATAAGGAACCTCTGGGGCATCTGTGAGGTGATTGATGGTATTGAGGAGAAGTCATTCCTCAAGTTCGGACTCAGACCATCTGGACAACTTGTCTAGTGGAATCTAGGACAAATTATCGTGTCTGGTTGACTTTGGTTCAAACTACTACTCAGGATGGTGGTCCCTCCTTAATTGTACTTTTCAATTTTTAATATTTTTTGATCTCCTAGAGATTCGTGCACGTGCATTCCAAATGTATAATGATACAGATAGGAGAAAATAACAATTATTTGCACTCCTTTCTTAGAATTATTGAAGCAAAACCAAGTGCAAATTTGTAATATTCTTAAAGAGGTAGGGTAGAACCTGAAACAACATGAATGGAAGATGGTGTTGGAGCAAACACGAACTGGAATAGCTTCGAAGCAAAGAGTAAACACCGGCTGGACTGGAATTGGTATGGAACGGAATTGTTATGGAACTGCCATCAGAGTTCTAAAATATTTTAACTTGGTCGTCAAGCCTTGTTGCAGAAAGTTTGAAGATACAGTAAGCAAACTGAAACAAGAGAAAATATGATTTTATAGTAATCTCTTAATGATCATATTATGAAGAAGATTTAGGGTCAGTTTGGGGCAGCTTATAAGTGGGGGCGGCGTTTTCAAAACGTCGTCATACCGTTTGGTTCGCGCGTTTCGTCAGCTTATCTGAAACTGTGTTTAGGTTCTTACACTAAACGTAGGCCGCGGGTCGACCCCTGCAGCCGGCCTGCGGGCCGCGTTTCAGGAGAAGTTGCTTATAGCAGCTTATCCTAAAACGCACAAGCTGCCCGAAACGGACCCTTAGATGGTAACGTCGATGATGATTTTTTTCTTTTTTAATTTTTGGACGATTTACATTAATATCACTCAAATCTTATATATTTACATGACTAAGACTTAAAAGTTCTAATTTTGCATATACTCAATCTTATTTATGCATAAAAATATGTATTTTATTAAAAAATTTTTAAAATTTGTGATATTTCAATATGATATTGCATGCCATAAATTCTCAATCGTAGTTTAAAGCATTGAGATTGTCCAAAGAATCTGCTAAACTTGGTCTTCTTTAGTCGACCCGGTCAGGTCAGTGTTGAATCCGAGATAGTCCATGAATCACAGCGAATGAATAAAGTTTAAGCATGGAGACAGAGAATAATAAATGATATCTATTAGATTTTTCTCACTTAATTACAAATAGTATTTCTTTATTCGTAAGAGAATGATTTTTATAAAATAACAATTATACCTCTAGTCCTATACAGTTGGCCGGAGACGGCCGCCCGGAGTTGGTGGCTGCACCGAACTGAGCTAGCCTGGCCAATTGGAGTTGTGGTTGGACCAAATAAAGCTACTGGTCAGGCCAAATTGAGCTAATCGAGCTTAATGGAACTTGTCGGGTTCGATTGAAGCTAATGAAATATATAAGTGGTATAATTATATAATTGCAAGAAAAAAAATTAGTTAGTTATGTAAATACATAAGATGTGGGTTGTATGCATGTAAATACCCTAAATATTTTTTGAAGATTACAAACTGCTCATCCTGTACAAATAAATTAGTCAACCTTTGGTCTAATTACTGCGTGCAGAGAGCGCACGCAGAACTCATAGCCGTGCATCGCCGCTATATGACAGTGGGTCCCACTGTTATATAGCCGGGATGTAAAACTGTAATCGAAGAGCGCACACAACCATACGTGCGAGCACAATAATCGCTCCAACCTTTGACTGTTCAAACCTGAAGGTGCCGTATAAAATGACACTACCTTGAAATAATGCTCGTGGGGAGTAGCTCCACTATGCTCTGCTCGTGCCTTCCTACTTTCTCTCTCCCTATATATCCTATTGACTTGTAAATTGACCCGTCCTTATTTGTTAATCGGTTTTTTACACGCATTTACATACATACCACCCAATTCATTTGTACCAACATATCTAACTCCTAAATTTTGCCTAACTCTTTCATATCACATAAAAAATGAATTACACCTTTCATGCATTCAAAAATATGATATTTATGCAAAAATTAAAACTTAGAGGTTAGATATATAAATACCTAAAATTGAGTGTTATATATGTAAACTTTTTCCCCCTTTCTGTAATGACCTAGTGGCAATTACAAATATGGCACCCACTTCCAACTTATTTACATATTAGCGAAAAAAAAAACATTATTTTCTAGGATGAGCAGAATTACTCATTCATCTAAATTAAATAAAAAAAAAATTTTAATTTTACTATTTATATAGAGAAACTATAGTATTCATGAGGGATAACTATGCGCTCAACATAATTAGGTCTAGCATTTAGGGATGTAAATAGCGAGCCTAGGTTCAGCTCGTGTTCGGCTCGTTTATATTTCAATCACAAAAAGTGTGTTCGTGTTCAACTCGTTTGTTTATCGAGTCAAACACGAGTTGTTCATGAACAAAATGTCGTTTTGACGACCTTAGTCACGTAGCCAAAAGATGTTAAGGGTTGGGGCAAGATTTAATTTTTTTTATTTTAATATTTGAATTACTATTCGTGTTGTTCGTGTTCGGCTCGTTAACTTAGCGAACAAGCCGAACACGAGCTGTTCGTGAACAACGAGTCTTTTTGACAGCCCTACTAGCATGTACATATATAGCATCTAAATTTTATTATTCACATTTATACCTTTAATATTTTATTCATATCACATCAAAAATATCATTACTTTTTATTAAACAACTCTAATATTTTATTTATATCACATCAAAAATATCATTACTTTTTATTAAACCAAATAAAATCTTGAGACTTGATGCATCTACCCTTAAGCACGTGGTCAACTGGTCATCAAGCAACTGCTAACCTTGTCGCCATATTTGTCTTCAAAACCTCACCTTTACCATATATCTCTTCATCAATCTATAAATCCCACCCGAATCATTCACCAAAAACACAAATCAAAACCAAATCAAATCTCCCTCCTCATCTAAACCCACACTTCCTCCACACAATGGGCTCAGAATCTCTTCCGACGATTCAGACCGAAATGGACGCCTGCAACTACGCCATAACGCTCTGCAGCTTCTCTGTTCTTCCCATGGCTCTCTCTACCGCCATAGAGCTCGGCCTATTCAAGATTCTCTCCGCCGCCGGGCCTGGCGCTCAGCTCTCTGCTGAAGATTTTGCTGCCAAGTTAATCAACGATGCTACAGGTGAACATGTTGCTTCTAAGCTCGAGAGGATTCTTCGTGCTCTTGCCAGCCACCGTGTCTTCACCTGCTCGACGGAGAGCGACGAGCATGGCCGCACCGTTCATCGCTACGGCGCCACGCTTGTCTGCAAGTATTTTACGCCGAATGAAGATGGAGTCTCCTTAGCTTCGCTTGCTATGATGAGTAATGATTGGATCACCATGGAGAGCTGGTGAGTATTTAATGGATTTATAATCATGTTAATTAGAAGAAATCGAAATGATCTCATAATCTTTTTAATCATAGAATATATAAAAATATCAATCCAAGCTCCGTGTGGGGCAATTTATCCGCTGCGGTGGCGTTTTGAAATTACTGTCTCACTGTTTAGAAATTGCGTTTGAGCAGCTTATCCGAAAACACTATTGATTTTTTACACTAAATGCGGAACGCAGATCAAACCCCGCGGTCCACGTTTTTAGATAAGCATAAGCTGCACTAAGCGCACGCTGTTTTAATGTGACTAAAATAGCTTTCATATATACTCTTTCAAGGGATGACTATTTAAGGCTAGTTAGAAAAATTGAAGAATAATCTGACATTTTGACTATAATGAACCCTATAGATCTAGAGACCATTGATGGCTCTTATCATATTCATAATGAAAATTTGCATACATATCACATGATTTTTATGTATTTACATATCCAATACATACATAATGTTTTGGTGTCATAAACTTATGCATGAAAAATTGTATTTCACTTTTAAAAATACTGTGATGATAATATTTTTGACGTGATGTTAAAAATTTGAGTTGTGTGCATGAAAAAAATGAGATTTTAGATGCTAGAGAGATAACTACATAAAAATTGTGTGGTATGTATTTAAATGCCTCTATTTATAATCAGTATGGATATATTTTAGTGGTTAAGAACTTTAATATGAATTTTTAAGCATTTTAAAATTTAATGAGCTAATATTGTTCTAATTTTTTGTTAAAAGGTACCATTTAAAGGATGCAATATTGCATGGAGGGGTGGCCTTCAATAGAGCTCATGATGGATTGAATGAGTTTGAGTACCATGCTAAGGATCCAAGATTTAGTAAGGTTTTCAATGATGGGATGAGAAGCCATTCTATAATTATTATGAAGAATATTTTGGAAGTTTATAAGGGATTTGAGAATATTAATGTGCTTGTGGATGTGTGTGGAGGGACTGGAGGGACTTTGAGTATGATTACTACAAAGCATAAGCATATTAAAGGGATTAATTTTGATCTTCCTCATGTTATTGCTCAAGCGCCTGCTTTGCCTGGTAATTTGTCTACTTATTCTTCAATCTATTACACATTAAAATACTGATTCATAATGTATACCTGCTGATGTAGGAGTGGAGCATGTTGGTGGAGATGTATTTGAAAGCATCCCCAATGGAGACGCTTTGTTCCTGAAGGTGAATTACATTTAATTTTTTAATAATAATGTTAATTAATTATTATAACAAAAGTTTATAAGAAAAATGAAGTTGGCATATATATAAAAACTAAAGTTTTGGTGTTCTGATTAATTTTGTTTGATTAGTGGGTTCTCCATGACTGGGACGATGAGGACAGCCTGAAGATACTGAAGAACTGCTGGAAAGCAGTCCCAGAAAACGGGAAGGTGATAATTGTAGATTCCATTCTTCCTGAAACTCCAGATTCTACGGATTTAACTCACTGCATCTTGCACGCTGACGTCATAATGCTTCTGGAGAGTCCGAGTGGAAGGGAGAGGACAGAGAAAGAGTTCAGAGCATTGGCCAAAAAAGCTGGATTTAGTGGCTTCAGCATTCTCTGCAACTTCTCCAATGCTTCCATAATGGAGCTCAGCAAATAGTTTATTGTTTCATTCTGCACTGCGGATGGGGTTTTCTACTGTTGTTCAAGTTTTTTGTCTTTTTGAATTTTGGTTTATGTGATGGTAAGAATGGGTGTGTTATGAAATAGGAAAATTTAGAAGTGGTTTGTGATGCTATTCCTTTGTCGTTGTACAACATGTTATAGATTATAATGGAGTTCAAAAGAATGTTGGATGCATGATACAAAATGATGCAGTGTGTTCGAGGATGATTTGAATTGTATGTTATGGTTCTTTGATTGCTCTGAATTCAGATCAAATAATTCATTAAATTTTTGGGACAATTATATACAGATCACTCAAAAATTGATATTTACAAATCAACCTCTCCTTCATCCATTTTCAGAATTCTCACTCAAATATCAAAATTCATGATAAAAACCCGACCCATATTTTTCATTTTTATCATATTCTCAATAATTTGATTGTAGCACGTGTAAATACATCGGTTTGGTAGTTCAAAAAAAATCATTTGGGCGATTAAATTGTGAATATCAATGTTTTAGGAGGTTTGTATGTAAATTCCTAAAATTTTTAAGGGGATTTGCATACATACCACGATTTTTATGTATTCGTCGCACCTAATCTAACTATGTTGATGGTGGAGAAAGCTGATGACATGGTTTGTATGCAACTATTACTAAAATTTTTAAGGGGGTTTGCATACATACCACAATTCTTATGTATTCGCACACCTAATCTAACTATGTTGATGGTGGAGAAAGCTGATGACAGACCAAAAAAAAAAAACATCTCAAAAGGATAATATGAACATATAACGTCATAGGTGATGATACCACGAGTTTATTAAAGATGACAAAAAGAATGTTTGAATATTTGAAGGAAAAAAAACATCTCAAAAGGATAATATGACCATGAGTTTATTAAAGATGACAAAAAGAATGTTTGAATATTTGAATTGAAAATGGAAATTATGAGAAAAATTATCATGTCATGAATAAATATGAAGAAAATAGAGAAAATGTATTTATCTCTGCATATAGATAACTCTTTTCCTCTAAAAAATTATCATGTCATGAATAAATATGAAGAAAATAGAGAAAATGTATTTATATCTGCATATAGATAACTCTTTTCCTCTAAAAAAAAGCATTTTGAAATGAATGAGTCACAACAAAATGGAGTACCAAAGGGGTGATAAAAGTTAAGTGACCTAGTTTTTCCCTAAGAGATAATCTTATAGAAGCAGGCTTAAAGAGAATGCTAGAACTAGCTAAGAAAGAAGATTGAGGCATTTACACACATAGCACATAATTCTTATGTATTTACATATCTTGCACCTAAACCTTCATATTTACACATACACCACTCAAATCTTTATGAAAGTTGAGATAAGTAAATACATAAAAAGTGTGCGCCACGTATGTAAAAGATATGTTTTGTTTGACATCTTAATAGCAGCAAAATAAGCAGGAAAAAAATAATCAACACTGGTCAAATTTTTCAAAAAATGTATTCAAATAAATTACTTCTAGGATGGAATTTTGAAATTGTTTGCCAAAAATGTTTTTCCACAATGCCTTTCAACCCCTTCAAAAAGCAGAGAAACCAAACCACAATAATCTTAAGCAATTTGGAACACCCAGTCACAAGTAAAATAGCAGATTCATCACTGGTAAAGATAATACTGCAGTTAGTCCTTTAGATAGCCAAATATAATTAAGGAAGATTTACATATATACCACTCAATTCCTATGTATTTACATATCTAATACCAAAATTTTAGTTTTTACACACAAGCCACCTTACTTATGCGTAAAAAGGTGTATTCACCTTCTAAAAGATAAAACTGTGGAATTTTAGTGTGATATGAAAGATTTGGATGGTAAAAATGTAAAAAGCAAAGTTCAGTTATTAGATGTGTATATACATAAGAATTAGGTGGTATCCATGTAAATGCCCCTATAATTAAGCAGAAGACAATTAAAATCCTAAAGAAGACAATTATAACCATAAGACTAATATTACCAGAGATCAAAGTAACATCCCAAGCACAAGAAAAGTTATAACTTTTTTTCAAAATAAAAGCAGTAATTGGGTGGATCAGTCGCTTACCAAAATGTATTGGGAATTAAGAACAAACAAGTTAATAAAAAAGAAATAGCAACTAAGGAATCAAACTGTAAGTCTGGATACCATATTTATCAAAGAGTCCAGCCCCGCATGAAATTGTTCTGAGCTCCAACGTTCCTCTGATTAGTTTCTTCAGATGGTTCATGGTGATGATACCTGATGAGAAGCAATTTTAATTTATAGAGGAGATAAAAATAGGAAAATTTTGTGTTCTGGGAATTTCTAGAAGTAATTACTTGGAGCAGAGATGCAACCTGTCAATGGTGAGATGACCAAAAACTTTATATCAAAAATATTAGGGGCAATTACATACATACCGCCCAATTCCTATGTATTTACATATCTAACACCTATGCTTAACTTTTTATATTTATACAATGCAAATCTTTCATATAACATAAAAAAATACCACCATTTTAACTTTGAGAAAGTGAAATACACCTTTTCATGCATTGGTAAAGGTGGTATGTATGTAAAAATTGAAGTTTAGGGGTTAGATAGGTAAATGCATAAGAATTGAGTAATATGTGCATAAGAATTGAGTAATATGTATGTAAGTCTTCCAAAATATTTTAAAGCTGAAATTTTGTAGAGGTTAGCAATGTTGGGAATGGGTTTGCAATTTTACTCGGTTCACCGAAAACACATAAAGGGAAGAAAATAAAAGCACAAAAATACCAAGAATTTTTATATAGGTTCGGCCAATTTATGACTACCATTCCATGGCTCTAATTTTCATTATGAAGAAGATGCTGAAATTTTATAAGAGAAATTTAAAGTCTCATGCAATCTCAACATTTTCATTTTTAATCTCTTATGTAATGAAGCTTAATAATTGTGCACCTCTTTTATAGTGAAATTCTAGAACAACTGCAATTACATGTGAAATCCCCAAAACATTTTTAATGGCACAATTTGTGAATATTGCATGCCTAAACCATGTTTGTTTCTACGTAAGACATTTTTGTAGGACATTAATTAATCTACTAAACCCAATGAGATACACAGATCATACCAAAGTTCAAAATCAAACCAAGCAGCCTCAATCATATAGCATTCAAACTACCAATTAAACACACCTATATATCTACAAAAACTCAAGAGAACGAAAAATTCTTTAATCCAATTAAACAATGCAAAGTGGAATTCATTGGTTTTGAAGTCCATATGTCAAAAATGGTTTTTATTTATTTACTTATCTTTTGATCCAAGATTTCACTGGTAAAAAAAGTCATATAATTCGAATTTTAGGGGTGATTAACTTATTTATTATTATTTATTTTGGAGTGATCATTCATCTTGCCTGCATATCACTGAAAATAATTCCTTAGATTAAATAGCCAACACAATGGATTATGACTCCATGACTTTCTCTTTCTTATATCCCATTTGGAAAACATAAGCTCTATGAGGTACTGTTTCACCCTTTTGGAGGTTCTTCATCACTATTTTATTCATTTTTTTATCTCCACGTGATGATGTTGTGATTAGCCATCTTTCTCATAATACAACATCAATATGATAGCATACCAAAACCATTCGACATCAACAAACAATAATAATATTAATAATTATTTTGTGACAATAAACCTGAAAAAGTATGTGACAAACAAACTGGTCTTCATATAAAATTTAAGTATGTTCTTACCCAATTTGAAGTGTGGGTTCAGCGTCCACGACATTGGGATGATTAGGATAATTAGAGAATGCACCAGCTGGGGCTACAGCATCGTGTCCCCAGGATTTGTGGATTGATCTCATAGGTCTATATTCTGCCGCAAGCTGCAATTCAAGGATTGTTAGTTCTATACAATATGTTGATGACTGAAATAAATTAACTTTTAGGAAGATTTACGTAAATACCACACAATTATTTTGTATTTAAATAGCTAACACTTAAACATTCATATTGCATGCATAACACATAATTTTTTAACATCATATCAAAAATACCACCGTCACCAACTTTTTAAAAGTGAATACACACTTTCATGCATAAGTTTATGACAGCAAGGTGTTATAAGTGTAAATTTCAAACTTTGAGCATTAGACACGGAAATACATAGGAATTGTGTGGTATACATGTAAATTTTCCAAACTTCTAGCATTACAAACACTACAACTCTGACAACATAGCCGCAAAAAAAAGCAATTTTTATTGAAGCATGATACAAGCAGCAAAATGGAAATAGTCTAGTTTGAGAATAAAAAGAGAATATGACAATTTCTTCAGTAAACGGGTTTCAAATATTTCCAATTCTCTTTAGAGCTGTGTTTTCTTGAGGAATTGATAAAGATCTATTTATGCCAAATGACTTGCATTGATCTTGAGATGAAACAAATGTTTTCTCCTTATTTTAGACCACAGAATGAAAGTGCAAATTTATTATTAGGGAATAAATTTGAAAGAAATGGATAAAATTTTCTCAATGATGCTTAGACACGTGTAAACCTAAGCAGGTGTTCTCATTGACTATAATTTAGGATGACTCTCAACCTTGATTTTATAAAAAATCAAATCAGTCCATCATATATGATGCTTAATAAAAATAATTAAATAATTACCAAGATTAACATTATGAATCACATAAGCTAAAAAAGTACAACTTAATAAAGTTAAATCTTTAAAAAATTATATCAAAAAAAAGTACATCAACTTAATAAAGTTAAATCTTTAAAAAATTATATCTATTGTGTTAAAAGGCTATAAAAATATTAAGCTTTTGTAGATAGTCTCTCACTTTTTTTTTTAATTTAATAATGTTGCACCTAATAAATTAACTACCTAATACGTTGCCCACAATTAAGGTTCATTCAATACATCATTAATTTAGTCTATGATTCACATCCTCTCAATTTTCCCCATTATAAAATGAATCCTATTGAACATAATGGGCTCAAGAGAAAAGTTGAGTTACTCAAAAAGGATTCATATAAGATAAAAACTAAATAAATTGGCCAAAGATATCAGAAAATTTAAACACCACCAATACTGATGTCATCTTTTATTTTGACATCTAACTTTCCTTGTTAATTTTAATAACTAAGGAACAAATGAATGATACATATGATTTTTCCATATATGAAATTTGAATTAGTAACATCCAATAACAAGAAAAGGCAAATAAAAGTTTGAAAAATGTTTTATTTTTTTCTCCATGCACCAAGGTCTTTTTTGCTAATATTACTTCTAATATATATAATAATATTGTTGGATCCTAATTTATCTGTGAATCACACCCAAGGAATAGAGTGTAAGACATGAGAGAGGGAGAAAGAGAAATGCACGGTAGTGAATAGTGATATGAATGATCCCTTAATGACAAAGAAATGGGGGTACAATATATGAGGTTACATTTATGCATCTGCTCTAGTGAAGACTGTACGAATGTGGGCCTAGAGCCTGGCTGCTCTAAAGATTGGCTGGTTGGACTGGCTAGACTCGCGAGCCATTAATAGACTGTGCCAGTTGGCAAAATTAGAGAGATGTGTTGATCGTTTTGGGTTTGAATTTGTTGGTTGGCTGGACTCTTACTAGCAAAGGGTCAGCAAGATTGATTCGGTCAACTAAGTTGTGTCAATCTATTGATCAAGTCTGGCCGCGAACCCTCAATTTTTTACAATGAACTCCTGTAGACAAGGCAGAGCTAAGTTATCTGGTAGATGATGAATCACCGTAATCTTATATGTAGTTGTCCTTAGAAGAAGAGGTTTTGAGGGATGGCTGAAGCTTGTCTCAGTGATTCTTCATGATGTTTTGGGTGGCAGTTGAATGCCAGGGAACTGTATGGCCCGAGGGGTTAGCTTTCCCATGAGGTTGGCTACATCGTGAGGAATGGCTTGGATTCCCTGCACTTCGCTTCAGGTTGAACCGCAGATTCGAACGGCTTGGTTGCTTTGTTCAATATTGGACTTGACGTTTACGATCAAACAATTGGGCCTCCGAGTCCCTTATTGGTAGGCCATCATTTGACAAACCTTATCCTGTCTGTGTCGTCAGATCTCCTTGAGATTTATGCTGACACTTTTTTGCATACATATTTAGTTCACTGATTCTCTTTATTCTTGAAAGTCATGTTGCGATAAAAACAAAAGAAATTAATGCAAAAATAAATTTTATTTATGACAATTCAATAATTCAATAATTGAATTCCTTAGATTTTGGTGTCCAACATTTCTATAAATAGAGCGTGAAGGGACGATATATTTCATCTCTCTCCCTTTCTTCTCCTTATTTTGAGTTGTCTGAACTCTGAGCGAGAACATGGTAGGCAGAACGGCGACGTGATCCAAGGCGTATGATAAGGCAACCTATATGAAGGCCTTCGATGAGATGAAGTCGTAGCCTCGACTAGAGGGAGAGAAGAAGAACAACAAGGTTGTGTCGAAGAAGAAGAAGACACCTAATCGAGAGTACCAGGTGAGATCATCCAATTTGCTCTATGGCCGCCAACAAGAAAATACTCAACTAGAGGTCGAAGGTCGATCGATTGATCCTCCTAAGCTTGTGGTTCCTCCTTCCAAGCCAACGGTTTCTCCAGCCAAGTCGTCGATTCTGCTTCCTGTCGAAGGTCAGACCATGTCTGCGGATCGAGCCAAACTGGGAGCGACCGACAATGTGACACCGTCGAGGTACAAGAGATAGCTGATGCTCTACCGCCAATCATGGCACGGGAGAAAGCTGGTGAGGGTGAGGTACCGTCTACCACGTTCGAGTGGGATCGAGTCCTTGGTACGAAAAAATTTCGGTCTTGCTCGATTTAATTTTCATTTTCTGAAATTCCTCTTTATGATGTATTTTGGTGCAGCTCATTATGTCACAGAGATCATGACTGTTGATTCTCTCTCAGCAAACCTTAGCCCAAACTCGACTCGAGCGTCAGCTACTGTGACTCAAGGACCAACTGAAGGCAGTTGACTCCCAGGCAAGGACGAAGGCACAAACTGTTCGGACAAGCCTAGCGAGGCTTAAGTAGAGGCGATCTAAGAAAGCCAGATTTTCCCTGAATCACTGACTCACCGCCTGCGAGAGATGGAGGACTCCTTTGCCGCGACGGCTGGCTTTCCTCAAGATGAGGAAATGTGTGGGCTGCTAGCTTGTATTGAGAAGGTGGATCGGATAGAGGGAGAGAAGACCGCCCTCCATGTAGAGATGACCATCCTTCGTGAGGAAACAACGACACTTCACTCAGAACTGGTGGTCGTTCAAGAGGCTTCTTTACATCCTAGCTCAAGGTGGAGATCAATCGGTAGACAGCTTTAGCTTAAGGAGCGAGGTTTTGTACAAGAGACTGCTTCAGTGAGAGTTTGTCTTGGCTGAAGCGACGAACAATATTTTTATAAAATATTTCCTCACAGTAGCTTTCGAGTGTTATTTTGCAATTTTTTTTATGAAATAAAACTTTATTTTATTTTGTCTTGAATTATTTGTCAACGTGACTCTTTGTCATCGTGGTTCTAGGGTGGCAAATGAAGCTTTTTCCCCTACGGCTGTTCAACTACCTTACTCATATAAATAGGGCCAAGGGTTCATTTTATCACGTGACTGTTCCATTCTCTTTCTCTAGTTTTTCTTTCTTCCCAAAGCTTTCCTCTCTCCGCATTTATTCCCAATGGCTCCCAAGTTCTCTCAAAAACTCTTCGGCTCGATTCCAGCGAACGAGACACTCATTAGGACTGTAAAACTGATGGAGCTCTTCCAAGAAACTTGTGTCGGTTTTTTTATGAGGGAGCATAACACAGTTAAATCAAGCTTGTGTCGGTTTCTTATACGGACCAGATAGAGCTCCTTTCATCCCCAAGCTTCACTCGACGAGAACCACAGTTAAATCTTGATCGGTTTCTTATGATGGAGCATAACAGGCGACTTAAATTACACGAGATAATCCAACCATTCTCGATCTGATTACCTTGTTTACCTCTTAGGTTGGTTGTGAGACACCCTTTAATGGAATAAGGCATTCCTCCCTAATGTAACAAGCATGTTAGATCAAAATCGTAGGTACGGTGTAAGACCACCTAAATGGATAAAGATATTCTTTCCTCAACAAACTAAGGGTGGAAGTGAGTCCCCCTAAACGAAATAAGGTTTTCCTTCCTAGTTGAATGCCTCCGAGAAAATTGTAGGACCCGAGGGGCTAGCTTTTCCCTTAGGTTGGCTTTATCATGGGGAATAACTTGGATTCCCCTACACTTCACTTCTGGTAGAACCGCTCAGGTTCGAGCCGTTTGGTTGTCTTGGTTAATCTTGGTATTGATGCTTCTGATCATACAATTGGGCCTCCGAACTTCCTATCGGCGGACCCTCCTTTGGAACGCCTTGTCATATCTGTGCTGTCAAATCTCCTCGAGATTCATGCTAATACTTTTTCAGTGTGTGTGTGTTAAGAGAGAGAGGGGGAGAGAGAGAGGGGGAGATTTTAGATTTAATTTTATCACTCACAAAGTTTAAATTTAAATATTTAAATATCAAGGGCACTAGTTGTCTAACTAATACAAAACCCACAAAAACTAAATATGAATCAAGAAACTCAGCTTGCTATTTGCATGTAGATGTTGAATATCTTGTTGTCGACTTTTGTGGAGTAGATATTGAGTTATGTATCTCTTTCATATGGTAAATGATTAACAATTAAATGGAAAGAGGGCAAAAAAGCTTCATGGTTGAAATGGATCCGGAGTATGAAATTTTTCTACAACATAAAGCTACAACATAAAGAGCCTTGATAAAAATGTCATTTGGATGCTTGATGGAAGCACCAAGTAAGCAAGCAGCCGATTATATGCATAGTAAAAGGTAGCCTATATATACAAAGAGATCACGTGCACATGATATTTCTAGAAACTTTAATTAGGGTTCCCTCATTCTCCACCTTGCTTGCTCAAGCAGCGAGAATGTAAATCTCCCATCTAATTTTTGGATAGGAGAGAGAACGTACAAGTTCTATGATTAAAGAGAGAGAGAGGAGGAGTCAATCTTTGAGGAAGAACTAGATAGAGAAGTGGGTAAGTGGAAGGGAATTGGGAA